AAAAAAAAAAAAAAAAAAAAAAAAAAAAAAATCTCAAATTTTTACAGTTGACTTCTATGGAGTATTTATAAAATGCGTTACATGGCCATTTCTTTTAGGGCAGTTTGCAGCAGTTTATTTACCACAGCGGGAGGGGGGGAGTCTCAATATCTATTTTAAAAAATGAAGAACAGACTTGAGTTTTTAGAGGGAAAAAAATTCAAAAACTATTTTTCACTTCAAAATCTGGCAGCTAAAACTTGTTTTAAATTTAATTTTGCTTGGAAATACTCAGTAGTTTTAAGTAACTAGTTGACATGAATTTAAGTTACTTTTAGAAGAGACACACATGAAAAATTATAACATGATTCGTAGAAAATGAGTTTTTCTCAGTGGGATTGATTATTCAATGATAAAACAGAGTCCCGGAAGAGTGGAGCTTATGTTTAACTTAAATATAGAGAAAACAAAAACCAAGCATCGTTAAATGAATAAGATTTCAGACAGAGAAAGAAGAGTGAAAACAGAAAAAGCAAATGCAAGACTGGAGAGGGTCAGGGGAAGGTGGCGGTGGGAGAGGTGGGCAGGTTGGGCTTCTTTGAGGAGGGGCATTCGAGCTGCAGTGTGAACAATAAGCAGCCTGAGAAAATCTTGGGGGAGGCCCTTCCATACAAAATGTGTGCAAGTGATGTCGCCCCCCATTCTCCAGGGACACAAGTTAACACACTGAACAATCCATGTGTGAATAAAAATCATATTTACATTTCCAGTCTTTTGGACTTTGGTAAGCTGGCACTGAAACTGATATCTTCTAGATGTTTAAATGGGGGATCCATTAGGAAACATGAGGTGTTGTGGACAAAAGGGGAATAAACAGAATAAAATCGCAAGAGAAGGAATATTGCGTTTACACTTAAACAGCCCAAGGGAGACTTATAGAAACTATTTGTGGATCCATCCTGCAAAACATAGCTATATACCAGAGGTTTTGTGGAAGATAAAAATGATTGTAATCGAATGGGAATACTTAATTTATGCACTTGTATGTGACCACCCCATACTAACATAAACAATTTAGATAAAATGTTTAATAAATTCCAATGATACAAACTAAACATAATAAACTCAAGCATGATGCTTATTATGACAAGGCCAACTTGAGAATTTGCCTTCAGTGACAGCGATACTTCCTTGGCTGAAATGGTTCAAGCCCCAACTCGTTTTATTATTATCCTCTTTCCTAACAAGTGTACTTTGCCATGGCTTTTATGAGGATTCTAGTCAGTCCAAGATAGGCTTCCCTTGTGCAGAGCAACATGGAATAAGAGATCCAGAGGGGAGATGAATTGTATAAAGGAAGTCAACAAACCACCTCTGGGTGACTGAAAGATTGCTAGAATTCTCCAGTGGGCAGAAAATTTGAGCAGGGATATGGGGTACAGAGAGAAAGAGAAACAGAGCAGTGTCTCCAATAGGAAGCAGAAAATGCCTAAGGAGAAATGAAGAGGCGCATTCCCAGATGGAGCCATTTTATTTACAAGCGAGATTCCAAACAAGGCTATGCTTTCCTAGCTCCACACTGGATTTGCATTTTACAAAATGTATTTGCTCCTAAAATCCTTCATAAAATCTGCCTTCCCCTCTGCAATGGGAAAGAGGCAAAGAGTCAAAGGTTAAAAGGTCATGCATAAAACAACATATCCACCAAGATAGTTGTATAATAATCTTAAAATTTGTCACAAATCAATGATAAAACATTAATTGACATAACTATATTTTACAGCACTTCAAGGTTTTTCTTCATATGTTAATATTCCTGTTTCACAGACAACAATATTACAAAAAGAGTATTAACTTTTCATAAAATAGAAAAACAAAACAAAGCTACACACTAGAAAAGAACTAAAGAACACAGACATTCTTATAAGAATAAAAACCCAAAGAACAATGAACTTAAGTATTTCCTCAGAAACAGTGGCTGAACCCTGCTTTCCTCCACCCCCTTTCCATCCAAGAGCTCTTCTGAAATTTGAAATTATTTGTTGTCTGTAACCACTACAGAATTTGGCAGTAATTCTGGGGGAAATGTCAGTTTTAAAGAAATTCTTGTACGTATTATATTTCTTCTTAGAGGTAGAAAAACTTAAAAAGTTTCTTTCAATGGTGTCAACAGACCAGCGATGGGGCTGTTGGTGTAGCTCAGTGGTAAAGCACTTGCCTAGCATGCTAAGTGCCTGGGTTCCATCCCCACACCCCCCTCAGCATAGTGTAATATGTCATAGAATAAGAACTAAAATTTTGGTTTCTTAGAAAAATAAATCTTCAATGACGCATGTGTCTATGTGTATGAAATTATAACCTAACCCCCCCAAAATTACCAATACAATTTGTCCAGTCTAAGAAAATTGTTGGGATTCATGGGCTAAAAGAGAACTCAAAGAGGGAAGGGAGAAGAGGCTCAGAGGTGGGAAATGAGTCACCTAAGTACATTAGCAAGATAGCCTGCATGATTATTCTTATACACATATAGGTGCACACACATACACCCGTGGCTTCATTTACTTGTGTTTTGCACACAAAATACCACTATCTCTTACAATAGATGAAAAATAAATAAGTATGCAAATTCTTATGTTACCTCATGGCTAGATGTGGCAGTGCCCATCCTTTACAGGAGTGGAAGGTTCGACCTTCTCTCCGTGTGCAGCTGCACTGCTGCTCTCTGCATGCCCTAAGAGCAGCACAGACGGGGTGAAGTTGGAGGGGCAGGAAGCAGCATAAATCAGAAAATCAGAACAGAAGTTTCTTGCTAGGCCAAAGATGCTCCCACTGGCAGTGCAGACTTTACACGGAGGTAAGCGTGGGCTGTTGGAACTCCTAGACTGGGCTGGAAGGAGGAAATGAGGAGTGCAGACAGCAGCTGCAAATGTTTGCCTGCCCCTCACCCAGAAGAATAGGAGTAAGGGTTCCTCTGACCGTAAAGAACAGACAGCAGCAGTTTGTCTTGAAGGTATTAAAGTACGGGCTGAGTACCCCTTACTTGAAATGACTGAGACAAGAAGCACTCTGGAGTCTTCTGGAATGTGCAATATTTGTGCATGCAGAACAAAATAACTTAGGATAGAACCCAAATCTAAAGACAAAACTAATCTGTTTCACATATACTCATATGTGAAATGCATAGGTACTCATAGCCCGAACTTTATACAGTGCTGTTAATACTTTTGTGCATGAAACAAATTTTCATGGTACGAGCAGGACATGGTGGCCCATGCCTGTATTACATCCTAGCTACTTAGGAGGCTGAGGCAGGATCGTGAGTTCAAGGCCAGTTACACAATTTAATGAGAATCTGCCTCAAAATAAATATAAAATAAAATAAAACAAAATGGGCTGGAGATATAGCTAAGTGGTAGAGCATTTGCCACACATACGTTAGGGCCCTGGGTTCAGTAACCAGCACTGCAAAATTGTATGGAAAAAATCTTCAGGTCAGGGTATGGAATTTTCCACTTGTTATATCACATTAGCAATTAAAGTTTCAGATTTTGGGTGAGGGATACTCAACCAGCATAAACTTAGATAATTTTACTAGGTGCAGAATTTCTAATCATTTTAGCTTGTATATGCATATAAATATCAAAATATTTTTTCTTAATATATAGTACTATTATTTGCTATTTTATCTCTTTCCATAAAATTATATGTGCATATAATTTGAAGGTAGTTTAAAAATACCATTCCTTTTCATATTTATTACAGATGTTTTTCAGGAAAACCCTAAGTCTAGCTATGTACAGTAACATTAAATAACTTTAAAAAATAAACAATACACTATATTTTACCAAAATAGTCACATTTTAAAGCCATATAAGTGAAAAAGTTGAATTTTTAAGAATAGACTAGACCTTCTAAAGGTATTTTTTCATTAAGTAAAAGTATTTTAAATTAATAGTAAAGGTACTTTATTTACTTATTATATCAAGTATATGCACACTGCTCTTGATAATTTGTGTCAGAAGCATTTTTATGAAACAATAGGTTGTTTCCTTTGTCTGTTTTTTACTTATTTCACAGTGGAAAAAATCTAAATCTCAATAAATTTGCTCCCAAAAGATTTCCCCAAGGAGACAATGTAACCAAACAACGAAAGTTTAACAATATGTATATATATTCAGTGCATGCAGCCTCTTATTTTCTAATAATAGTAGTAGAAAGCAACTTTCAAGTATCATTTTAATCCAACTGGACTTGATAAAATTAACACTCTAGAGGAAAATCCTCGAGACACCGTCTTGCTAGAAAGCCATTGCGGAAATTCCCACAGGAGGCAAAACCCCCTGCAAAGGACAGAGAGCACCTGGTCCAGCACTGAGCCGAAAGTGTGGCATCTAACACCACTCTGAACCAGTCAGCTCTGGCAAGTTCAAGAACTCCCGTTTTCTGAACTCATCAAAGGTCACCCCATAGTCCACAATGGAAACACAGCTTTTGAAAAGGTTATCTCAATGCAGGTAGGACCCAAGGCTACTTCCAGCCGGGGTCCTGCATTTTGCAGCCGTGGATATTAGTAGTAGTTGGCTTGAACAACACAGAGCACGGCCCACTTTGGAAACCAAATTCAGATAGCTTTGCACTCACTCAAATTCACTTTTAAAAATTAGATTATCATAAAGTCTGCAGAGCACAGAGAATCCAAGACTCACAAGTAACGAGGGAGGGGGATTAAGCGACTAAAAATTCCACGTCTTTGCAAAGCAGATGCAAGAGGTCAAGAGGGGCTCGAGCCTTCCGGAGATTTTACTCTTTCACAGGTTTTGATCCAGCCACTGGATGTAACTATTCCTAGTCCGCATTCCCACTGAGAAGTTGGTGGGCCAGCTAGTGAAAATCATGCACCCATGGAAGCCATCCTCGAAGTGATCGAGGGTCACCTCCACACCCACGCTCTCCAGGCGCCTGGCGTACATGATCCCGTCGTCTCTCAGGACGTCATGCTCACACGTGAGAATATAGGTCTTCGGGAGGTGCTGGAGCACGTCCTGGCCTGCAATGAGTGGGGAGGAGCGGGCGTCCAGCAGTTGAGGGATCTCCCGGACGATCCTGGCATTGCCCGTGGTCTGCACAACAGGCTTGTAGTCCTTTTTGATGGACGCGGGCAACAGCAACGTCCAGTTTAGTCGGGCTCTGAGGACAGCAGCCTCCTCCACCTCCAGGGAAGTGTGATTGTTAACGATCATCGCCTGCACAAAGTCGTAGCTGCCTTTGAAGTAGTCCACCCAGTACTTCACCATGACGTAGCGGGGCAGGATTGGGGTGTTCACGTTTTGCTGGTAAGAGGGTGTATTAAAATCTAATGCTTGGAGGACTGGATAGATTAATGCTTGCAGTTTGAGCTTATTTCTTAGGTTGGCATCTTGACTGAACTGAAAAGGAAGAAACACAGCGTTTCATTTTGTGTGCTTCTTTTTACAGAAAGGACACTGGAGAGTGGCTTCATGTATTGTTTGAGTTAGATAAAAGAATAAATTTTACATTTCTACAAGGCATGGTATTAAGGAAGACAGTTTAAAAGTAAATAATTCTCCACCCCTACCACCCTACCAAGCAGCTGGGTATTTATTAAGAAAGCTATACTGTTTGCAGTTTGTGGTTTTGAGTGAACCCAAGGTCCATGACCTCTGAGGTCTGCACGCCCATTAACACTACTTGTATCTATCCTTTGGCACGCAGCACACCTTGGTGGCTATTATGGGTGAATAAAGTAAAAACTTTATTTAATTGTTATTCTGTACAAAGCCCCAAATGGCAATGGCTCCCTGGGGAGAAAAAAGAGTAAAGCTAAATGAGCAGACAACAACAGGAGTCCAAAGCATTTAGTGAAAACCCTCTGATGAGCATTCAGTCCTCACGCTTGGTGGGAGTGAGAATTTAAATAATGTGGGCTATTGCACCTGCATTCTGCACAATGGGCACGCATCCCAGAATGAGGCCTGAATGGAAACGGACGTGAATCCCCTCTCCTGCAGCTATCACCTGTCACTTTTGCCGGTATGATTATATCACGGCGTCTCAAAAAAAAAAGCGTTGGGAAACACCAACTCGTCTCAAAGTTCTAAGAAGACAATCATAGAAAATGGAATTTAAGCACAAACACATCGTTTTGCCAGTCAAAGACGAAAGAGGAGCAGGGAGTCAGGCAGTGCTATTTTTCACACCTCTCCCCGAGGAGCCAGGGAGTCCTGTAAGATGTCAGACCTTCTCTAACGTGGACTGGCATCAAGGACTGCAGGACTCAGGATGCTTCCTTCAACGAGTCTTCCCCCTTGGCATGATGGTACGTGCTTGTAATCCCAGCTCCTGAGGAGGCTGAGGAGAAGGATCCCAAGCTGAGGCCAGCCTGGTCAATTTGGTGAGACCCTGTCTCAAAATAAGATGACTGTGCAGGTAGTAGCAGGCACAGTGTGTTCGCCACATCTAATGCAGATATTCATCCGCTGGGTGGAACCATGCACTCTCTCAGCACTAGAGGGCACTCGAGGGCAGCGGTATCACCTGTTGTCCAACGGCAGCGGCCAAGTTTCCACCAGCACTGTCACCAGAAACGCCAATTCGGCCAGGGTCCACCTTATACTTCTGCAAGACCTCCGGCTGCAGGAAGTACTTCGTGGCACGGACCACATCGTGAATTTGCTCAGGAAAATAAACCTGTGGGACCAGCCTGTACCTGTGAAGATAAAAATTATACTCATTAAAGGACATCACCAAGTTTTTATAGGGCATTTAAAGCTTAAAAGGACTAATTTCCTTGAAGCTAGAAATAAACTTTGTAAAATAAATACAAATATAAACTTAACAAAAGTACTTAGTTTAAAAATGTAACAATTTTGTGTAGCAAAAGTCTTTGTTTTCATGATAAACCAACAAACAGAGCAAATACACTCACCATTACCAACTCAAAGAGAAACCTAGGCCTATAACCATCTCTCCAGTAAACCTTTATTTTTTTTCATATTCATGTAACTTCGGTCTGCAAATGAAAAAATTGAGTTGCTTGACTTGTAAAATAAACACTGACCAAAATAAGATAGAGAAATACTTAATTAAAATGTAAAAATATCATTTCAGACTCAGGTTTTTTATTTTCATCTTAACAGTAGCATTTTATTTTCAGAAACTAATTTTTTAAACTGCTGTATAAAGGGCCATTTATTTTTCTCACTTTAAATCCTGCTGTCTAAATATCTTGACATTCAATGAACAAATACTTGTGAAATACTAATTATTACATTTTGAAACTAAATGAAGTAAGAAATTAGCTTAGTGGCTGCCAAAAAGATAAAAATATTTTTTAATGTAATGATCAATTAATAAATTTTTTTCTGCATTTGATAATGGGCAGAGTGGGACTGTACCATTTCCCCACTAAGTGGCGACATCACACAAGTCTATTTACCATCACTTGTAGGTAATTTTAGTATTGCCAAATTGAATTATTTTTTGTTGTTGTTGTTGTTCTTTTTTTTCACTTTTTCTTTCTTGGTACAGGGAATTGAACCCAGGGCCTCACGCTTGCCAGGCAGACGCTGCACTGCTGAGCTACATCCCCAGCCTGCCAAGTTGAATTCCTATTTTTTATTTTTTTAGTATGGGGAATCGAACTCGGGCCCTTGGGCTTATGAGGAAGGCACTGAGCTAAATCCTGGGCTCCTTCAATTTTTAGATAAACAAGTGAACTTCATGACAAGTTGTGAAAATAATGACTATTTTACTTCATTCCTATCCCATATGTCATGATAAGCAATTTTCCTGGTTGCCTGGAGGTCAGAACACTTCCCTATTGGAGTACATATGTACATGAGTTAAACAGAATTTTCAAGTGCTGTTTCAGAAAAGGTCTCAGTACCTTTGGATCAAGGGAAACTGGTAATCTAAAAGAGCATGCTCAGGGGGTCTGTACAGTGGCACACACCTGTTATCCCAGCTACTCGGGAAGACTGCAAGTTCAAAGACAGCCTGGGCAACTTAGTAAGACCCTATCTCCATATTAAAATAAAAAAGATTTGGGGTATAGGTTAGCACTCCCTAGGTTCAGTCCACAGTAGTAGTTAGTAAAGGAATAAATGAATGGCATGTACTGGTTAATCTCATCAAGTGATAGCTGGCTCAGATGACAGACAAACATGTTTAAAAACAGACGGTGATGGAAATTTTCCTGGCACCCTTACAGATCCATATTCTAATCCTGCCTTTTTGTTCAAGCTGCGAAAGTTCTACTCTGTGAAAAAGAACATTATTTTTATAGACTTTTTATTTTTATTGGAGAATTTCTTAGGTTACCTGGTGTAATATGAACCTTCAAAGTAGCTGGAATTCGCCTGAGCAGTATAACCAAATTTCACAGCATATTCACAGACACAGACACTGGAAAGTAGGGAGGAAATTCACAGGTGACGGAGCCAAAGGAAGCATACACAAATATTATTTGCTCTCTGTGGCTTGTGTTACAGCCGTGTCCCTTTGAAGTACTGAGAGAGGATTCTTTTTTTGCTTTTGAATTTAAAAAATTGTGGGTCTTGAATTAAAGCACCCGATATAAGTATCCAGGCCTGTGTACCATCTCAATTCAGGAATTCGCCACAGGGAGAGGAGACTGAGGTGTGGGCTGGGACGCCTGTCTTTATCACTGTGCACACCTCCCACCAGACAAAGGAAATTCACCGCTCACTCAGGCAACAGGCGTAATCAGTTGAATAAATGTGTACATCCTGGAAAGTTCATCATACTCCTACAAGAGGCACCTCGCCCAGTGTTCTGCAGAGGCACTCCACACAGCGCACAGCAAGCTTCTGTGCCTGCGGATAAGAACACAGACCCTGTCCTCAAGAGCTGCGGGTTTGTTTTGAGGCAGGCTCTCAAGTTGCTCACACGTGGGTCTTCATTCACAATGGACTTCCTAACCAACGCTCTCTCCCTTAAATATATTTTCAGTCTTCAAAAGCCACCGCCTTTAAAAACTATATGGATAAAAGCACTAAAATCTCAAAACGGTGAGTTTCTGACAGCTCAGAACACTTCTCCTGATTCAATGGATTTGCAAAATTCTCAAAACAAAACACCTAGCCCAGGGCTGGCCCCACAGGATGTATCTGATGACTTACTTTTCTTCCTCCCAAAGAAAAGTTTAAAGGTATATTTTATACTTTTTACATACAAGATGTATGCCATATAGTGCTATCTGTGGTGGGGAAAGTAATAAGTCATGTGGCTTTCAAGAAAATTAAAAAGGAGCCAGGTGTCACAGGCACACACCTGTGACCCCAGCCCTCCGGGAGGCAAGAGGATGGCAAGTTTGAGCTCAGCCTGGGCATATTAATGACTTAGTGAGAACCTTTTTCAAAATAAAAAATTTAAAAAAAAATTAAAAAGCAGCTGGAATATGTAGCTCAGTGTGAAGATCCTGGATTCAATCCCCAGTTTAAAAAATAAATAAATAAAAGAACAGGATGGGGATGTCGCTCAGTGGTTCCGTCGCCCACTTCTGAAGCGCAAGGACCTGAGTTTGATCCCCGGTACCAAAAGAAAAAAAAAACTTGAAAAGGAAATTACTCCTAACCTCCTATTCTGGCTGTATCCAAGGACTGTACTTCCTGGATACTATACATTAGCTCTGTGGTAATTAGTTCAGGATGTTCTTCACCTACTTTGCATCATCTTGTGGATTTATTTATTTAATTCCTCTCTTCTTCTTTCTTTCTTTTTTTTTTTTTCCCCCCAGCACCAAGGTGTGAGCCCTCTTCAAAATATGCTGATTCAATGAGTCAGGGTGGGAAAGAAGATCCCCGAATAGTTCTAATGGGCAGCCTGGGGTCAGAAATACCAGATTCTGGTCCAATTCTCGTTCCTCTCTGAACACATCTCCCCCATTCCCATCCCTAACACATCGGTCCGTCTCTCTATCCCTAGACCCTTTCCCCATGGCTTCCCCGTGAAGCGTCCCCATCCTTTAAATTGACTTTAAATGCCACTTTTTCCATTAAGCCTCCTGATTCCCAGCCAAAAGTAACTCTCCTTTATTGGAGCCTTCAATCTCTCTAATAATACATTATAACGCTTACACCTTGGCTATCTCCAGAAGTAGAAGGGAAGTCATAATTATCTACCAAACAGTTACGATGTGAACCTCCCTGAAAGGAACAGCACCGTTCCTGAAAGGAACATACTCGCTTTATGACCTGTTGTACCAACAGCATCCAGAGCAGGGGCACAGTACTCGGAAATACTGACCACCTGATCCTTACGTCAAAGGCATTGCCATTCTGAGCCAGGGCTTGAGCTGCTCAGGCACATGGTGAGTGGAAGCCCAGAATGACACCAGAATTCCAAGAGGATTGAATGAGATTCTTCCCCCAAAATGACCTCACCTGGAAAGTATGTGCACCACCTTCTGCCAGGGCAGAGTTCACCTCACGCTGTGCCAGGTAGGTGAAAGGTGTGACCGTCTAATACGAAGTTACACTCCTAGAAGATTCAGCAGGGGACAGGGAAGTCTCACTGCTTTTCAGCTTTTCCCCCCTATTCTCCACCTCCTAAGAAAAGCTTAATAGAATCACCTTGAAAACACAAAACAGTTACAGTTCTTGCAGGCTTCGGAAAGGGTTATCCGAAATGAATCAGACGTCACATCCAAATCATGCTCTTTCAGGGAGACACCCCAGAGAACAGCCTACTTCCTCCTCTAACAAGCTTCTTTTTCATTAAAAGGGCATACAATAAAACTCCTCCAGAGTAGGACTGAGAGTGGAAGGTCATTTCTCTTCTCATGAGTAAAATGTGTTTTGTGCATAAAACTTAAGGGTCTTCCCTGCTGTTTCTACTCCCAAAATTGGCTCCTTGAGATCGTTATGACCACCACGCACTCAGGAGGGAGCACGGAGACTAGCACCTGAACAAGACTAACATTCAAAGCACAGACAGATACCTAGATGCTTCATCGAAATACAGCAGCTGAGCTAGAACTGCAGTCTGTTCAAAGGAAGTGAAGCACCTGGGGTCTGTTTTCAACTTCTGGGACTGGAGGAACAGCTCGGAGCTAACACACTTGTCTGACACATGGGAGCCCTTGTGTGTTCATCCCCCAGTATCAAAAGAAAAACCTACACACACACACACACACACACACACACACCACTCATGGGACGTAGCTACACAAACAGCAGAGTCACCCTTAGGCTCTCTGTGTTTACCTAAATTGCCTCCTCCATTCAATTCAGCTGCAAACCTTGGTTTTATCCTCAAGGGCAAAAAGAGCCACAAAAGCCCAGGCAGGCTTGGTGCCAGGTCCTTCTAGCTTTCTTTCTTAGTGTTTCCAGAAGCTAAGGATAGCTCTGTAAGGTCCAGGTATGACAGGGACCAGGCTTCAAAGCTCATGGTGGTTTTAAGTCATAGGTATTTCCACCCTCCCTGAAATTCTAAAAAGTCTAAGCCATAAGACAAAGTTCAGTATTTTTTTAAGTATAAATCACAGCCCAAAAGACATTAGTGAAATACGTCTAGAAGGAATGATCCATTAGTTAATGACATCGAAGTAAATAAGACAACTTACTTTTTAGAAGAAACCTGTTCTGATTTAGTTCTGAAATGCTCCCCTCTCATGTTTGCAGAGGGGGAACTTTTGGAAGGTCGTTGGATCAAAGCGTGTTGTACTGATCAGTGGATTGATTCATTAATGAATTCAAGGCCAAATGTGCTGGTAGGAGGTGGGTCGCAGGCGTGACCTAGAGGGGTGATTTCTTATCCTTCGTTCCTCCCTTGTCTCTCTCTGCTCCCCAGCTGGCATGGGGTGAGCAGTTTTCCTCCATCACGCCCTTCCATCTTGTCATTCCTGCTTTGGAGTCAACCAACCATGGACTGAACCCATGAAAACCGTAAGCCAAAATAAACCTCTCCTCCTTTATGCTGCAGACATCAGTATTTTGTCACAGTAACAGGAAAGGTGACTAATGCAAAGCCACAGTATTTTCTCTCTGTAATATTAAGTTATTTGTGACGCTACTGAGGTTTGCTACAGTTGGCACGACTGGGTGAAAGACATGTTTTGAGCAAACATTCTGCTGCTTTGGAGTGGAACCCTTCAGAACGCCATCTGCCCACCTTCTGCAAGTACCCCAATGAGGGTGATAAGTGAGGATTCCCTTTCTGTTCAGGACTGAGGAAGAGCAGGACAAGGAGGAAGGGAGATTCACAAGGTCACTGTCATTTCCTGTTTTTCAGACTGTCTTATACATACTACTACAAATAAAGATGTGACTTCCACTGTGCCTCACAGAAGCACTGTGATTTTGCCATCTTGCAGTCACCTGATTTTATAGATGGAATCAATCAGAAGCATCAAATTCTCATTGCTTACAACTGTGTGAGCATCAAACTAAGAGCAACAGGGTCTTGTTAGCAACAGCCCTCCTTACAGTTCTGTGAAGCATTAAGTTCTGCCAATCACCAGGTGACACCTGACTTTTGGTGGGATGTGAATAAATAAGTCTAAGGCATCTACATAAAGCAGTTTACCAGTGGAGTCAAAATTTAATTAAAAGCACAACACAACTTGAAATCGTTTTCCACACTGAAAAAAGTGAGGTAAATCTCTTGTAGAATTTAATAATGTCCAACATACCTAAGACTTTATTATCTTGTATTTTAAAAATGATACTAAATGTTTCTTGCTCTTTCTGCCTTATGGTTTGGTATTGTGTTTTACTTAACAAACTAGAGGTAAAAAGGCACTATGTTATAACTAAACTGTACTGAAGTTTATGAATATAAAAGAAGTCTAGCAGTGTAAAACAAGATTATCCTGGGTTATATGAATGAGGCTATCCCCATGTAACTTAGATAAGGTGAGCTTTTCCATGTGTTTCCCAAACACTTACTGTACAATTGATATAAAGACAGCAATGCTGTAGAAGATGCTAAGTACCAGGCACATCAACTGACCTATTTTTTATAACTGAAGGCCTTTACTCACCTCAATTGCGAGGTCCGTCCCCAGACTACAGCAGTACAGCAAGGAAGAGAGGAAGGAGCTCCAACTGCCAGTGCTCCCGTGACCGGGGCTGCACTCACCCCAACTTCTCAGCTTCCCTAGGCTCTAATCTTCCCCAAGGCCACAACTCATGATACACACAGTCCCGACCCCACTGCGCGCTGCTGCAGACCTCAAAGACAAGGAACAGCTGGAGGCCGACGGCGTCTCTGCTGGGAGGGAAAACTCATAAGCCCTTTTATGTGTCTTCTCTCACTCTATGCTCTCTGCCTCCAACCTTCCTTCCCAAGCCCTCTCATCGCACTTGCATAACCAATGCACTCTGTCTAAACAGGTTCTGTTTATCCTCAGGGGCGCGATGCACGCAGGTTTTAAATGCCTTTTATACACTTCAAACTAGGTACGACCTTGCCTAGGTAGGACACGGACCTGCATCGGGTCAGATTGGATCCGTCACTTCTCCCCTTTTCCTTCCCATCACTCATCACGCTGCACATCCGGTGTTCAAGATACCTCTTAGCATCTAGATTGTGAGGGCAGGGATCAGGTCTTACTCTGCGTGTCACCACAGCTTAGCACAGTAGCTGGCACAGAACAGGGGTGCAATCAGTATTCATGGAAGAGAACAAAAAGGCCTAAGGCGGTGAGCGGAAGTGAGTCCCGAGTTAGATCTCTGGACATTCTTTCCGAGAGAAACGTGATCATATGACCTTGGCCACATCTCAACTGCAGCACAGGTTTTGACACTCTCTGTGGATGGCTGGGGCCCTAACCAAAACCCAGAATGTGCTATGAGTTCCAAACACATGTCGATAAGTAGTTTGAAAGTTACCTTTTTTTCCTGCAGGCTACAGCACTACTCCTGCGGATTTGTCTAGTGTCTCAAGACAACCGAAGTACTGCTTTCTGTTCCCAGTAGTCACATTTGAAACACCAGAAAGGACTCTGAGACCAACTTTGCACATAAATTTAAGTGATTTTCCTGAACGTCACACAACCAGGTAACCGTACTTGACCATTGCACTGTGGTAATTCCCAGCAGGTAACTCCTGGATGCTACAGGAAGAGATCAGGCACATTGGAATTTAAGAGGACAGCAGCATCCCTTGTAAGTTTTTAAAAAAAATCTTAAAAACATCTTAGCCATCCTTCTGTTTTACGGTAAACCTAGACTCAAGAGCACCAGGTTTGCTTGAGACAGATGCAGATTTTATAACTAACCTGCACTGAAGTTTATGAATATCAAAAGTTTATTGGTGTAAAATGTTATCCTAGGTTACATGGAACAAGTTTCACTCATGGTGCCAAGTGAAACAAGTCCAGCCTCCCTTTCTAGTTCTGCAAGGAGCTAGAACAACACAGGAAACCACTGAAGGCCCCAGAAACTTGTCTCTCTACACTGAGTTGGGGGGCTTTGCTCCAGAATGGGGGTGGGTGGCTGCTTAAACAGTGCCTGCTTTTTTCCAGCCAGCTGTCCTGGCCAGAAGATAGATGATCACTTACTTGAAGCCCCTGGGTTACTAAACCTCACTGAGAGCTCTCAGGTGACCTGGGTGTCACCCAAGAGTGAGAGTTCAGAGAGGCCTCAGAGCCATGAGTGGTCCACGGTACCACTCCATGTAACTGACTGTAGGGTCTCTATTCACAAGGTCAGAGTGGTCTAATGACCCAAGAGAACAGCCCCTCTAATAGACCGCAGAAGAAAAGAGTCTCTGAGATCTCAGATCCAGAGCAGAGTCAGGAAGAGTGAGCCACGACTGCGAGAGAGGATCAGGCAGAGAGGCAGAAGAAGCAGAGACCTGAAAGAGCTTGTGCCCAGAACATGGATGATGTGGTATAGCTGTACGCTGTTGCTCAGCACTGCCCACTTCCTCCAATATTAGTTTGATACTGGATCCAAAAAGGCACAGGGATCATGGAAGCAATCTGACCTGGATTCAGTTCATTATCACATCAAGAAGACTCGTTCTATCCATCTCGTAGATGTAGGTAAAGATGACAGATAGATATAGATATAGATAGATACAGAGATATAGAGACAGAGATACAGATAAATATCGTTTTTGTGGCACTGGAGATTGAAGCCAGAGATTTCACACTGTGTTATATCCCCAGCTCTTTTTTTTATTTTTTATTTTGAGACAGGGTTTTGCTAAGCTGCTAAGTTGCCCAGGCTGCAATCCTCTGGCCTCAGCCTCCCAGCGGGTTATTATTCTTACTCCCATTCTTCTTAGCTGCCCAGGAAAGTGGCTTAAAAAGTACTGGTAGAGACAACTCATAAGATTAATCTGATTACCATTACAAATAATTATACCACTAAGGTTTTAACAATACTTATTGCTATTCACAAGGTCCAAGTTACAGAACCTAAAGCTAAGATAGCAACGTTTCTGTTTCTTGGCTGTAGGAGAGACACCTTGGTTACTTTTTAGTTTTAGAAAGTAGGTACTTTCTGGATGTGGTAGTGCACACCTGTGGATCCAACACTCGGAAGGTCGAGGTGGGAGGGTCACTGCGAGTTCAAGGCCAGCCTGGACTGCATAGTGAGTCCAAGACAGCTTGAACTACACAGTGAGACCTTGCCTCGAAAAGAAAAAGAAAAAAAAAAAGCAGGTAAACGTATACTTCCCTAGCGTTTTTGTTTTTTTGGTTTTTGGTACCAGGGGTTGAACTTGGGTCTTTGCCCTTACAAGGCAGGCAGTGGAAACACTGAGCCAAATCTCCGGCCCATCCCCTAATTTTTAATTCCTGTTCCAGAAGCTTTTAAAACTAAAATATGAGGGTAAGTCAAGGTGTTATAAAAGCTAGTTCAAGACGTTTTCATTAAAACTGAAGTCATTCTCTTCTGATTATGCTGAGTGTGACCTTGAGCAAATCCCCCCACCTCTGCACCTTTACTTTACACCTTTTTTCCCGCTCAAGGCTACAGATTGAATCCAGGGTCCTCTCACTCAACTACAACCCCAGCCTTTTTTATTTCTTATTTTGAGACAGGGTCTTGTTAAATTTCCTTGGGTGGCCTTGAACTTGAGATTCTCCTGCCTCAGCTTCCAGGTAGCTGGGAATACAGAAGTGCACCACCACACTCTATTTTATCACCTGCAAAATAAAGTTACTGAAGCTTCACCTCGAATCTCTTCTTAATAAAAAAAATTATTGGACCAGGGGATTTAGCTCAATGGTTCTGCTACCTGCCTCGCAAGCGCAAGGACCCAAGTTCAATCCCTGGTACCAAAAAAAAAAGAAAGGAAAAAATATTCTTACAACTAGCATGAATTACTTACTCAACGGAGACAATGACAGCATTCAGTTCCTCTGCCATTGCAGTGCACAGCTCATCGTAATACTTGATTTCTAAAAGAGACAAAGGGACAACCAGTCACTGGAAAATAAGTCATCAATGCTTTCCATTGTTAAATGTTTCTGACTGTGGATTATTTTCAGACTTGGAGTAAATAAAAACAAATAACTAAAAGCAAGTGTGCACAAATGTCTTATTAATAGTTACATGTATAAATGCAAAAATTAATACTGATTTCTGATAGAATGCAAAAACTATAATTCAAAGGCAATTTATATTACATTAGTTTTGAATATGTTTTTAAGTAATGAAATGCATAACATTGTTTCTGATTTTGGAGCTCTTCAAATGAATGTACCTTTCAAAAAGATCACAGGGTCTGGGGATTTAGCTCAGTGGTGCTGCTGCCTGCCTTGCAAGCACAAGGTCCTGAGCTCAATTCCCAGTACCAAAAAAAAGGAAAGAAAAGAAAAGAAAAAGATCACAGCAAATAAGCAGCTTTCTCCTTAGAATCATAAAATTTTGTTTTTAACAGCCTTATTTGCTGTGATTAAGAAACTTGCTAATTTAAAGAATGTATTATTCTCTTTAAATCAACACACAAGGCACTAGAATTTTAGAAAATCTTAGTATTTCCTAGGAGGACACAAAGGTCTATAGGCATAGGACCAACATTACTTTATTTGAGACAGGGTTTCACTATGTAATTCAGGCTGGCCTTGAGCTCACCATGTAGTCTAAATTGGCCTCAGACTCATGGCGATCCTCCTGCCTCAGCCTCTTGAGTGCTGGGACTACAGGTGTGCATCACTACAACTGGCTTACAGAATCAACTTCAATGTGTGAGAATTTAATCCCTTAATTGTTCGTCCAATAAATTAAGATTGATAGCTGTGCCAACAGAGAGTCTAATGTATCCTTATCTACGGGCTTTCCAAGGTAACTTTAGAAGCAGACATTGTAAGAACTGCATACCTCTGCCAGCCCACCTCTTCCTCTGGCAGGAGCAGTCAATCAAAATTTAGTAGAGAAGGGCAGGTTGGCTCTTGTCATCCATACACTCCTGATATCTACGCTTCAGTGCTATTTTAACCTGGCAAGGGTCAGATGCTACAGAGCCAATCTCTTCTAAGGCAGAGACCCCGTCCTAGCCATTTATGGGCCCCTATCCCTAGCACACAGCAGTGAGGACCTACAGCCCATTTTGCCCACAGCTGCTTGAGTTTGGCGCCGGGAGTCCTGCACTCAAGAAACCCCTCGGTCTGGGGCCTCCACATATGCAGTAAACAGCGGCTGAAAAATCTGAACAAATCAGTGAATAAAAGATATGAGCTAAATAAAATGGGATAGGGAGAAAAATGTATACTTCTTTGAGTTTTCCTGCATTCGAAAAATCATATAGGGCCAGGGATGTAGCTCAGTGGCACTGCATCTGCCTGGCAAGTGCAAGGTCCTGTGTTCGATCCCCAGCATGAGGAAAAAAAAAAAAAAGTAAAGTTAAAAATCATATAATAGTATAACAAATACAAGTTTCCATCTTAAACTCAGGGCATATCCAAAGCTCTGGGCTGAAAAGAAGGAAGTAACATGATCTTCACAGGAACTGAAAAGGTCCTGCCGTCCTGACTGCCATGGATGGCTCTGCTTGGCAATCCTGCCATTTCAAACCTCTCCTGCTCGTGAACAACATCCGCCTTGAAGATAATATTCTTGAACTTTCCAAGTGTTTCCTCTTCACAGCTGCATGCCTTCTATATTTGAATGCTTGGTTGTGTAAACTGGTAAGATGTCGATGAGGTAACATGTGTATTAAGAAATACCTACTCTACTTCATAGAAAGATGTCTCTAAGTTGGCAAGAGAGAGACAGATAATTCCTTCTATTCTGGACCAGTGAACTTCACCTTCTTTGGGTTCAGAAAAGCTATTATTAACACTTCACAATAAGCCTATGCTAAAGGCTAGAGAGGGTATTTTCAGAACAGTTTCCTGCATTAAGAAACAAACCCCCAAGCAAAAACGTTTTGCATCATGTAATCATATAATTTACCATTCAAAACAGGATCCTTCCAAAAGGCCAAAACAGCACTACTAAAAATTCTACTGGAATAGCAGGGGTAACTAGGACAGTCCAAGAAAGGCGAGACAAACGCTCCCCTTCTCCCTACCCACTAATAGAGCCAAGATCAATCCCATTTCCTCCCCAGGGCCATTCACAAATGCCAAACGATCCGAAGGTGACCAGGACATACTTGCGCTCGCCAAGGCCCAGCCTCCTCCATGGATGTAAACGACGCTGCGTCTCAGCGGCTCGCCGGGCTTTGGAGGACCTTGGAACACGCGGACTTCCACACCGTCAAAGTCCGTGTCGGTCACCTTCACTTGGGCAGATGACCACGCACTTTTCTTGCCGAAAGAAACGATGATAAAATTCAATGTGATCAGATGGTGGCTCAGTCCCAGGTAGTGAATCAGGTTACTCTGCAGGAGGAGGAACAGGTCTCAGCTTTGCCAGCACAAGAGCTACGCTACATAACTCAGCCTGGAATTTTTTTATTTTTTTGTACTGGGGATTGAACTCGGGACCTGGTGCTTTCGAGGTAGGCAGTGGAACTGGAATTCTTACCAGCAACTGCCACTGCCCTGGAGGACACATGGAACAGTTGTTAATACAATGACAAGTTTACTTACTTTCTGCTGTTAGAGTGGACAAAATATTTTCACACATGAAATGGCCTTTTCATTTTCAGGCCAGTCCTGAGAGGGAAATGGGATGGGATTCATCAGTTCTATTTTCTTGGGAAAACTTAGGCACTGAATTTGCCCACTAAGATGGTGAGTGGGAATTCTGAGACTCATACCTAGGATTTGTGAATTCCAGGACTTAGTCCTTTTTGTTGTCATTGTTTCATTTTCTAAATAAGCACATCACAGTTCCACAAAGTACCAGGAGTAAAGGAAGAATAATTTATTTAAGTGCCAATAAGAGACAGGAAAGTTTTACTTTGAGGATCTTTAAATGCTTTGAAGGTTATGCATCTACATGTGCCTGTGCTTTGAGAGTAGGAGAAAGAAATGAGTGCAAGAGAGCGGTGGTCAAGTGAGATCCTAGAACTATGACCAGCTCAAACACAACCAGGAGCTTTTCAGAAATGTGCAAAGATCACACGGCCTGATATCTCTTCACTTATGATCCCAGAAGGCACTGAAGTCTGCATAAAGTATTTGCAGGGAGTTATTCGGTGGCAGGAGACACAGAGAAAGAAGAGACCTAAGTCAGCCACCCAGCAAATACCCTGTAGAGTTTATTCTTCTCTTTCTACTTCTACAAGTTGCTCAGGAAGGAGACTGGCTGGAGACTAATAGCACTCTTTTGTAGACTATGAAACAGAATCCTGGTGGTTAACACAACCATTAATGCATAAGATCAAGCAAACAATGGGAGCAGAAAGCAGGACCACATGACATCCACAGTGTGCTATCCTAGCCTTCCAGCCTATGTGTACAGGTGACACCAGTGTATCTTGAGGGAACACAGGTAGTCCATAATGCTGATCTCCCAGCCTCTGGGCAGCCAGGCACCTGAGCTGTTTGTCCAGTTCCCCATATAAATGCTACTGTCGTATATATAACATGTACTTTGCATGAAAAGAGTTGGAAAGCACTGCATTTATAAACCATTAGTCTGCATTCATGAAGAACAAGAACAAGAGGCAATTGATCTCACAATGAACAACTATTTTAGGAATTTTACTAATGTTCATTAGTGGAGCAAATGTATCTTAGTAGCAGCAGAGCAAATGAGTATGAACAAAATAATTCAATTTCTATATGTGCCATGACATCAATGGACCACTTCCTGAAAAAAGTTAAAGTAACTATTAATGTCCTTGATATTAAATAAACGAAATATATGTGGAAGGCATGTGCACATGTACACACAGAAGATTCTAACGCTAAGTTTAAGTTTTTGGCAAGTTGGAAAAAGCCAATCATCATTTAAATTTTGTGGTAAAATGTCAGTCGAACAGCGAATACTGAGATCTGCCAGGGCACAGCTGAGAGAGTCACTATACTTGTCAAGATTTCTAGGGTAGACAAAATAAGCCTTCATCTGTTACTAACTAATAGGAAACAGGCAAGATCCACTCCATTCCACATAGGATAAGTAGCTTGACAGCAAGAAATATAAACAGCTGAAATATAAACAAAAATGAAATGTTTCTTAAATATTTAACACAAATTATACATAAGTATCCTCCATTGTAGGAAAGCTCAGAAAGTGAGTCATCTTCTCAGACATATTACAGGTAGTTTATTTTACAAGAGAACCTACCTGTGCTTCCTCCGTGTTGCGTGTGATCTGAGTGCATGCAGACTTCACTCAGTTTGCCTGACCCTTTCCAGAAACACCTCTGCTTGGTACTCGAGTGAGCAGAATTTCCAAACAGCTATCTGTCTTGTTTACAACGGAGGCAAGGTGACATGAGGACAGAAGCACTGAGTACAAAAGGGACAGCGTGCGGCAGGCAGTGTTCTAGGTGCTTTCCTCAAAGTCTTCACCACAGTCTTCGGAAGTATTTGGTGGCACGGAAGCACAGACAGTTTTGCAGTTTACCCAGTGCTGGTTAAGTGGGGAGGTGGGATTTTAACCTAGGCTTTCTGGCTCTGGAGCCCACGCTGTTAACTTCTGTTCAGGCTCAGCTCAAACTTGTAATCTTCCTGCCTCGACCTCAGAGTGCTTGGATTATAGGGGCTCACTATGTAACCGGGCTGGCTTCCAACTGGCAGTCTTCCTGTCTCGGCCTCCGAAGTGCTAAGATTTCAGGTGTGTGCCACTGTGCCTAGATCACATCTAATTTCTATATTAATAGGCAGAGTGCAGTTGGTGCTTGGCTTCATTGGATTCTTGCTTGTTCTTTCAGCTTTAGTCACCAGACCTGGGTAGGGAGCCGGTGTCCCACCAGATTTCACTGTGTCCGGTCCACTGGTGTGTAGAGGGTACCCTTCCCCCTTCTAGCTCCTTATCAGAATTATCTCTCCAGGGACCTGCAAGTTTTTAAACCTCTAGCACAGCCCTGGGTTATTTCAACCAGCCAAGTTTAGGTAATTTGCAACCCTGAGGACTCTCACTCTAGTCCTGCTTTTGTGTGTGCCTGGAGTTTCCCAGCTACTTCTAAAAAGATTCCAGGAAACTTTGCTCCAAAATGTTACTAGAGTGAACGGGAATTTTTATTTTACATAATCAAGGATATAAGTAATGTCACCTGAAGGAAAGCTGAGGGAATGAGACTCAGAAGCTACCTGGGTCCGCACTGATTTAAACCAACATTTCCAGGGCAACTCTGCATGTCCCTGAGCCCTCCTGTGGTTTTTAGGAATCCAGCTTCTGTAATTAATCTCTAAGCTTCTCGAGGGCTTTAGGAATCCAGCTGCTATAATTAATTTCTAAGCTTCTCCTGTCCTCTCTTCTCTCCTCTACTCCTCCTCCCTCTCCTCTTCTCTTCACAAGGAACAGAACAGTACCTACCTCATGGAATTGTGGCCAAATTTAACAGCCTATACAGTCTTACTCACTATAGTGTAGACACTCAAGCCATGATACCTATTATTAGTAATAGTAACAGTAGAAGTGGTTGCTAATAAGTTACTAATCAGTTCTCTCCATTTTCTGACTACTGCACGAAGACACGTGGGTGCAGGGTCAGATATCTCAATATCCCCAAGGAATACTACCATTTTTTCTATTGTGCATGTTTGTTATTAACGCCATAGTATGAAATTGTTGGAAGTTTAAAAAGATGTAAGGCAACTCTCTCTGAAAAGTACATTTGGATGCTCATATCCAGGGGGCGAGGGGGGCTGTGGAACAAGCAGTAGTAGTATGATACTCCAGCCACAAAAATAACTTAGCATGTGGTCAACACGAACCAACTGCATTAAATACTTAGGGCATTGATTGTAACTCGTGACCTGCTTCATTCCTCCTATCTGATGGTTTGGATTCTATGTCTGTAGTCATCCAACTTGTCCAGCATGGTCATCTCATTCTGTCAAACACCTTTTTTACTCTCTCAAGATTGTACTGCCCTTGTGTCAACTACAGGAAAATCTGCATCTCCATGGATCACTTGTTTCTCTGTATGAGGTACTTGTGTGTGTAGGGGGTACTGAGAATAGAAAGATGAGGCTCTACCACTCATCTACATTCCCAGCCTGTTTTCTTGTTTCTTTTGAGATAGGGCCTCACTAAATTTCTAAGGCTGACCTAGAACTTCCCATCCTCTTGACTTAGCCTCCTGAATAGCTGGGATCATACACATGGGCCACCGTGCCTGGCCCATGGTCATATTTTTTAGACACTGTGAACTTTGAGCATACTTTTAAATGTAGATTTTTCTTTTTTTGGTATTGGTAATGGAACCTAGGGTGGCATGCATGTTAGTTAGGCAAGCACTATCACTAGGTTACATCTACAATCCTTTTTATTTTTTATTTTGAAACAGGATCACACTTAAATTGCCCAGGTTGACTTCAAACTTGTGATCTTCCTGCCTCATTCTCCTGGGTAGCTAGGATTACAGGCACATGCCACCACACCCCACTAGAATTAATTTTTGTTGTTGTTGACACTCAACTTATATGACTTGCATTTGAGACCACTATGCACACCCACTGAGATTAAGCAGAACTTTTATTCTACACAGAACTCACAATCCTTGTGACAAGAAAACACCCAAGGACATCGCTACGGCTTGTGTGTGTGTGTGTGTGTGTGTGTGTGTGTGTGTGTGTGTGTGGTATGTTGGAAGTTTAGTCCTTGGTGTGACAACATGGAAGATGATGGGACCTCTAAGAGGTGGGACTTAGGTCACTGGAGTACACCCTTGGAGGTATTAAGGCCATTCTTAATGACACTCAGAGTTTTCCTGGGAGAATGAGTTGCTAGAAAAGTCTGAGCCTGAATTACTGTCTGGCTTCATGTCTGGCTGTGATTTCTCCCTTGTGCTCTAGCCATTTTGATGTCATTCACCTTGAGACTTTCACCAGTGCTAAACTGATGCTGGCACCATTCCCTGGATCCTTTGGCTAATGAAATCTTTGTTCATTATAAACTAGCCTGCCTCTGTTATTTTTTTATAGTAATGAAAAATAGACTTATACAATCTTACAGCTTTATCAATTCAACAATTAGACACCTACTAATGCTACCAATTATAAGAATAAAAATATGGGTACAAATGGACCGAGAATTATCTGATTTTTCTCCCTTTTTCTTCAAATTCCTACTTTCCTTTAAGCTTTCATAGTTATCTGAACTTCCTCAAGGACTCTGACTTTTAAGGGAAATCCCATGATTCTAAAATACCAACTCAGGCTAATACTGTATTTTTAAAGTTGATGAACAAACCAATCATATCTGCAGGCCAAATCGGGACTAAAAGGGCTACTGACTGCAGCTCCCAATACAGACGATGGTG